CCCCAAAACCCCAAAACCCCAAAACCCCAAGAAAAAGTATAGGCTAGAATTTTACCCAAAGATGGACTCAACTTGAATAAAACATCACCGTCTATTGAACTTGTGTTGCTAGCTTTATACAGATTGAGTTCTACCATTTATTCCACAGAATTGTACTCTTATCTCTTGCTTTAAAGGAAATTTAGATCTCTATGATTTTTCAAGCTCGGAAGTTGTTTGGAAATGTAGTCCTTTTTGTAATCATAATCCTGACCACAATACCTATAAAATTATATCGGAAAACATTACATCTTATTGTATAGGAAGAAATTTGTATCTCTTTGTACAAGTTTACCAAAATCTACGCTTGGGCAATGGCGTCTCATGTATTTATCTCCAAGCTCCTCTAAACTTAGAAGTTGTTGGTTTGATTTGGCGTTTGAGTGTAGCTTTCTCTTAGAAAGTTTTGCAAAAGCAACTCAGCCTTTCATCTTATCATCCTTTTGTTGGCTAGGAACTATTTGAACCTAATCATTAAATATAAATTGGTTAATAAATTAAATTGATACGTCTTCTTTAAAATATTTTATCAACTTTAAATTTTCGGTCAAAATCTTTCTAAAAGCAATCTCGATATTTTCATTAAATATGGTGAAGCTGAGAATCCCTACATCTGATCTTGACTTCTTATCCTTCACTAGATGATATTCTGATGAAATAATAATATTGTCGTAAGAGAATGTTTTATCTGCCACGGATGTGACGAATGCTGCTTTCGAAGGACTATTTGAGATGGCTTTCTAAAGAATTAAATATAACCTTAAATCCATTACCTTTATCCTCCTTGGCCTACTAAACACCGTATTCCTTTTCATGTTCTCTTCCAATTTTCTACAGATGACCAATGAGCTTACTTTTTAAGCATAATTTGGGGAACTTTTATTTTCTTCTTTTTGAGTTTTCTTTTGTTCTTAATTTTAGGAATCTCTGAATTATACATGTCCTCTTCGTTATTAATGCTATAACAAATTATAGCAAGACTTACTTTGAGTCTTTCTCTTGGTCATTTAGCTTATTTGCTAAGGTCAGATTTATCTGATTTTTAGTCTTTGAGAGCAATCTTCCGACTTCTCTTTTCTCTAAAGAACAAGTTTAATTTTTTACATAAACAGATACTAGAAAGGAACAGACTTACTCATTCTGCCTCCTAGATCATGACTTTGGTAAAGTTTGTGTCACAAATGCTTGCTTTGAATTTTAGATGGGCCTGATTCTATTGGGTCAAATATTGTCTTCGATGCCTTTGCAATAGGAATCCTATACGAAGGAGGTTCCTTTGAGTTGTACTAAAATATAATAATACTAATTTACTCTGTAATTTGGAGAATACTTTCCAACTCCTGGTTGGTCTGTCTTGGATCCAAAGACTTCATTATATTTCTCTCTTGATATAGCTTTGAAACTTGAAGATCAATTTTTAAGAGCCTTCTTCCAGTTCTCTAATTTTATTTGGGCTTTAGTCTTTTTCATAATAAAATGGATAAAATAAATTTATTTCAATATTTTATCGAGAACAGGGGTTTTGGGGTTTTGGGGTTTTGGGGTTTTGGGG